CTGCTCATGATTACTGTTTTCTGTTTTATTTGTTTAATCTGTTTATTTGTTATATTTAGTAATTGTATTTTAGACAATGTCCAAAGACTTGTGTAAATTCATTTTATTCTGCTTTAGATACTGAAGATGTCCCCTTTTTGTTAATAAACAATGTTGTATATCATAATTGTCGAAATCTTGTTTATTATCAAACTTTGTTTTCCCTCGAACACATCGATTGCCAATGTCCGTATCCTACCTAATGGAAATGATACTCCGTGTATATAGTAGGATTAGTTTTAGAACGTGTAGTAGCATATCGCGGGCTCGAACCTTGAACCTTTCGATCTGTAGCACCAGGCCAAGACTGAATACGAGCGAACTAGTATTGAATTCCCCTATATTGGAGTAGCGGTCATTTTAACACACACTTTCGTTACTTTGTTGCTTAATATTTTTCATAAAATAAAATATAAAAAATTAAAAATCATGGAGAATTTCAAATTCTTATACTGCGTGTATAAATACTTATTCATTAGACTAAGTTTTTATATATATATTTAAAAACATGAATCCTTTATGTAATCATTTTTCCCTCTATCTACAAAGCATACTTAACAGCACTGGTAGTAATTTTTCTTGTTATATGAACGTTTATCATGCCGTAAATGTTCACTAGGTCTTTTTATTTTATTTTATACAGTGAATTGTACATTCAGCAGAAAATTTTCTCATTTTAACGGAACTCAACAGATTAAGGGATTTTTTGTATGGTTAGGCATCATACGAGAAAACAGCCTGCAATATGTTCTATGTCACGATATTTTATTTCATCTACGAAAAAAAAAGGGAGGGGGGGAAGAAAAACCTCGGCATCACCGATTGATGTAACTGGAATTATCTCTGAATGCTTGGTGTTCTCTACAACCTGGTAACTTTCCCGCCAATGGCTGACTAATGTTGACATTTACTTCTTTGAGGTTTGATAATTCTTACATATCATTAACTTATGGTGTATCTTTATTTCTTACTGAGAAGGGACGGGGGGGGGGTACACAACAAATTTCTATTAACGAGTAAATCAAGATATATCTAGCACAGAATGTTTTCCAGAAAAGGTTTTGTCATTTTTAACATATTTTCTTAATTTCAACTAGTATCTTATGTCCCACGTTCTCCTAGTAAGTGAAAAAATTACTCTCTTCAGAAAATTAACTGAGGTAGCTATTCAAGAAATGAAACTGTAAATGAACAAATTG